CAAGGAAAGAGGATTACAGACGAATTTCCCTTATGAACATAGATGCAAAAATACTCAATAAAATACTCTTGCAAACTAAATCCAAGAACATATAAAAAAATCACCCACTGTGATCAAGTAGGCGTCATCCCAGAGAGTTAGGGATGGTTCAACATATGTAAATAAATAACTATAATCTACTATATAAACAAAATGTAAGAAACCCCATGACCATCTCTTTGATGAAAAAGACTTCTTTGACAAAATTCCAACACCACTTCAACACCTAATCTCTCCTGGAGAGATTAGGAATAAAAGGGACATAATTCAATAAAATAAAGGCAATTTACAGCAAACCCCTAGCCAGGATCAACTTAAATGGATCAGCAATTCTATCAAAATCAGGAACAAGCCAAGGCAATTCATTCTCTCTATACCTATTCAATATAGTACTTAAAGTCTTAGCTGGAGCAATAAGACAACTGAAGATCAAGGGGATACAATTTGGAAAGGAAGAAGTTAAGTATTTTATTTGCAGCTGATATTGTAGTATACATAAATGACTGTAAAAATTCTACTGAGGGAACTCCTACAGATGTAAAACACTTTCAGTAATGAAGCTAGATACAAAATTAACTCAATAAAAGCAATAGTTTACATAAATATAGATGATAAATGAACAGAAAAAGAATTATGGAAAAAACACCAATCAGAGTAGCTTCAAATAATATAAAATATCCTGAGGTAACTTACCGAACAAGTGAAAGACTTGTATGATAAAAACTTCAAGTCTTTGGTGAAAGAAATTGAAGAAGATATCAAAACATGGAAAGATCTCCCATGCTCATGGATCAGTAGATTTAACATCCTACCAAAATCAATTTACAGTTTCAATGAAACCCCCATCAGAATTCCAACACATTTTTTCACAGATCAGAAAGATAAATATGGCATGTATTCACTTACATGTGGATCATAGTAGTCACTAAGTAAATGATAATCAAGCTATAATCCATAGATCCATAGAGATTAGGCATAGAGGATAGGATTACAGGGAACACATGGATCTCCTTGAGGGGGTAATACATTAGGTTTTATGGGTGGATTTGGGGGGCAGCGCCATATGGAAATGGAGAATCAGGTTGGGGGAATGCAGGGAGAGACAGCTAGAATTGAGGGGCATTTGAAGGGTGGTGCAGATATTTAGTGTAGTTCAACCTTTTTAAAATATATGAAAGTGATCCTAATGAAATCTTGAAATAGTATGGGAGATAGAGTTGCATCTCTTGTCAACAATGAAGCTTCCAGTCATGGGATTGGTTTAAATCCAATTGAGTTATTGGATAAATGAGTTCCATGGAAAGTCCCTAACAACCCAAGCTGTTCCAAGGCAATAGGTTCCTCTCCACAAACTGTTATCCAGGCTCCATTGGTGAAGGCAACACCCACACAACTCATTGAACACGGAGATAACAAGCTGGTGCCTATATAAAACCTTCATCCCTATGTTCTAGAGACTGTGGTAGAGGAAGTTACTGTGTAGGATATCAAAAGAGAAACATATACACAAACCCAGCCACAAAACCTTTGATCTACAATGCTGTCCTGCCTGCAAAATACGCCAGTGCAATCAATAGTGGTATGCCACTTTTAGGAGTAACCAAATAATGTCTGGTTTGACTTAAAGCCCACTCCATGAGATGGAATCCATACCCAATACTGCTTGGTGGAACAAGAACCAGAGACTAGATAGCCCAGAGACCTAGGATAAAAGCAAATATTTCTGGTCTTAAATAAAATAAGTAGTAAAATTATTCCTAATGATATTCTGCTCTATTGGTAGACCAGTACCTTATTCAGCAATCATCTGAGGCTTCCTCCTGCAGCAGATGTGAACAATTACAGATATCCAAAATCCAAAACCAGGTATTTTACACACACACACAGAGAGAGAGAGAGGGAGAGAGAGAAGAGAGAGAGAGAGAGAGAGAGAGAGAGAGAGAGAGAGAGAGAGAGAGAGAGAGAGACAGAGACAGAGACAGAGAGAGACAGAGAGACAGAGAGAGACAGAGAGAGAGAGTATGGAGGGATGGAGGGAGGGAGAAGCAGGAAGGATGGAGGCAGAGACCTTGGAACACTCAGTTCCAAATGGGATATCTCCATCAAGTCTCTTCCCTCTAAACTCAGGATAGCTCACAGAAGAGAAGGCAGAAAGAGTGTAAGAGCCTGAGGTGGTGGAGGACACCAGGAGAACAAGGCCTTCCAAATCACCCGAGTAAATCTCCTATGACTGAAGCATCAAACACAGGCCCTGCAGGGCTCTGCACTCTGTGTATATCGTTTAGTTTTCAGTTTGGTGTTTTGGGGACTCCTAAGTATGTGAACAAGTAGTTCTCAGATTCTTGTGCCTTGACTTGGGCTCTTATTCTTCCTTTGCTTTGCCTTGTCCAAATTCAATGTGATGGTTTTTCATTATTTCTTTTGTTCTTTTTTTTTGGTTTTTCAAGACAGGATTTCTCTGTGTTGTTTTGGTGTCTGTCCTGGATCTCTCTCTGTAGACCAGGCTGCCCTCAAACTCACAGTGAGGCTCTGGCTGGAGTGCTGGGATTAAAGGCGTGCGCCACTGCCACCCAGCTGATGATTTTTCTTTTTGTGTATTATATTGTATTTGGTTATGTTTTGTTGTTATCTCCTAGAATACTGCTCTTTTTTCTAATGAGAGACAGAAAAGTTGTGAATTTGGAGGTGAGAAGAAGTGGGGAGGAACTGGGAGAAGTAGAGGCAGGGGAAATTTGTAATCAGGATATATTCCATGAGAAAAGAACCTATTTTCCATAAAAAGAGAAAAAAGAATCAATTACATGATTAGACAGAGAGATGATAGACAGAATGACAGACAGACAGATAGGCAGGCAGTCAGGCAGACAGACAGATGAGAAGATTGGTGATAAAAGTTCATCAAATTGACTGCAGAGAATAACCTGAAGAAATATATGAGGCAAGCTGGTATTGCAGCCAGCTGGAATTCCAAAGGGCAGAGCAATGGCCCTTTGCATGAGGCTTCCAAGTAAAAAACAAAAATAACAGAAAGGTAACATCATCAAATTTGCTTGCAGATATCCAGTAGAAACTGAGGAAGCATGTCTAAGCCAGTTGGAGTCCCCATCTGGGTTCCCAGGAAGAGCAGAAAAAATAACTGAAAGATTGGCCAAAGCAAGTTTATCTGGGGGTGGGAGTCAGGGCAATTGGAAACTCCAGCTTACTGTTTGGAATTTTTCCAGTCAGTTTCTGCTGGAAGTTGTTTGCACCTCATTTGATTTTCCAGTCAGTTTCTGCTGGAAGTTGTTTGCACCTTATTTGATCATGTGATATCTATCTGTTGCTATTTGTTCTATTACTTAAATTGGACTCTCAGAGGGGAAGTCCAGGTACATATTGCCATAAATGATCTGCCTTAGAGGATTAATGATGGACATCTTGAGGGCCCGCCTGCAATAATGTTTCCTTGTCGGTATGTCTGTCGATCACCTCTTACTTGTTATATACTGTTTTACTTTTCTTTCTGTATACTTCGAAAACTTACTCATTCAAAAGGAAAAGTGTGATTATTGTAGCTCATTCTCCAGACTGTACTGAATCAGACACACAGTATTTACAATCAAATTTAATGAACCGACCAGGGTATATTTAAGGATGTGTGTGTGTGTGTGTGTGTGTGTGTGTGTGTGTGTGTGTGTGTGTGTGTGTGTGTATAAATATACATACACATCATTATATATAAGGATAATTATAGGTATGTATATAAATATACACACATGCATGCAGTAACAATTAGTGAAAAAAGAGGCTATGAGAGAACAAGAAGGGGAATACGGGATGGTTTGGAAGGAAGAAAGGACAGGAGAGATGTAATTATATTAATCTCAAAAATTGAAAAGTACAAAAAAGTTGAAAGGAAACATTTTTTTGTGTGTGTGTGACTTGGCAGGATGGACTTTTCTCTTTAGGCGACTGATTTTCCATGATTACAACTCAAATATAATAAATGTGAAATGTAGTAACATAATAAAATGAGTTTAAATCTCTGAAACCATGTTAAAAAATTGAAAGGCTGGATTTTACAACAAATGTAATGTGAAGACTGAAGAGTTACATAAATCACCCCTAATTATACATAATCATTAGCAAACAATAAATGGAAAAGTAAAAACTTCCTGAAAACAGGGTCAAGGACAATGACTAAATTCCAGAATCCTACACCTTGTTGAAATCATTATTTGAAATTCCGTGAGTGCAGTGGCTTCATGTGGTGGCTTTATGAAACCCCGAGGGACAGAACTGAAATCCCCTTTAGTCTCAATGTTAATACAGAGGTGTTGTGATCTCCTACTTTCTGCACACAAACATTGGAGAGATCAGAAAAGAGCAAACTGTTGGTATTTTGGTGGTTTACAACTAAAATAATAGCATTCTTCATTGTCTTATTAAAGACATTTCCATTAGATGAATGATAATTTGATTGACATGGAAAAAATTACTCACTTGAATGACTATGAAGTTAAAATATCCAATCTGTGAAGATGAAATCAACCTCACACAGACCCAGAGATGTTTAGAGTGTGTTGGAGCTTTGTCCTGGTCAGTGGCTTTGTTTAAATTAAGTTGAATTTCATTTTGAAAATTCATCTTGTTACATTTATAATTTATGCATTTTAAAAATAAATTCTTTTTTCTCGCTAAATTATATTTAGAGGCTATTCACAGTTTGCAGTTTAGAGAACAGAGAAAAATCCCTTTTCATTCAATTTTATTCTTATTGATTATTAGAAACTATTTCCAAAAGTAGGTTGTATTTTGTCATTCAAAATGTTTTCTGTCTTCACTTAAAATATTCTCATAGTTTATTTTCTATGTATAATGTTTTATTAGAAATTAAAATGATTTAAAATTATTCTTGTATACACACAGCAGATAAATACATTTGAGTAGGAAGGGCATGTTTCAAATCTGTTTCCACTTACCTGCACCTTTGGCAGTAGAAAGCCATAGGGTTAGAGCATTGGCAAAGAGCCACATCCTAGACCACCCCATCTTCTAAAACCCAAAGTTCTCCAGCAGTGGTGCTGTTTCTGGCAATCCTGTTATTAAAAGGACTGTGCATGACTTTGAATTTCACTGCATTACTGGCACCTAGTTTGGTAAATATCAAAGGTCACAGAAGGAGGGAGAAAATAAACAATGTTCAATCGGTGTTTTCCCATTAATACTCTAACCATTTTATACTTATTAAACAATAAAATATCATTCAGCATGAGTTGGCTGTTTGAAACCTGGGGCCTATGCAGGATCGCTTGGCTCGGCCTGGGAGGAGGGGACTGGACCTACCTGGACTGAGTCTACCAGGTTGATCTCAGTCCGCGGGGGAGGCTTTGCCCTGGAGGAGGTGGGAATGGGGGGTGGGCTGGGGAGAAGGTGAAGGGGACTGGAGAGGGGAGAACAAGGGAATCCGTGGCTAATATGTAGAACTGAATTGTATTGCAAAATAAAAATAAAAATTAAAAAATATATATAAACATGAAAAACATAAGAGACAATTGGTTTTAGTATTGTTGATGTTATTTTCAAAACTGCATTTAGTTTTGTGGAGGAAAATAAATGGCTGGTAGAACTAGAAAAAAATATCATTCAGTTTCTTGGTGCATGTCTCTAGACAATCTAATTAGGTATTCAGAAAGGAAGATAAGAGATTTTTTTTTTTTTTTTTGCCTTATAATAGGCATCAGAGCTGGCTGGGTAGGACTGTTGGTTGATTCTCTTCTTTGAGACTTGCATAGTGACTTCTGGTACCATGAATGCTAGTCCTCAGGGAGGAGGCTTTCAGGACAGTTCCGGCTCAGGGTCCTTTGGGTCCTATGATGAGGTACATTGTACCTTCAGCAATATGGACTTTTCTTCCCTCTCCTGGGGACAACTAAGTGCAATAGCAATAGTCAATAATAGTTTGAATTCAGTAAGACAAGTCTGACCAAAAACTCAAAAGAGTGTGTGTCTTTTGCCAACTATTGGCATGTTTGTTAGATAGTTTTAGTTCTTGGAGGGAACATTGTCAACCTAGAAGAAATATTCTATGTACAATATATATTTATATTGATACATAGAAGACATGTCAATTATAGTTCATTTTGGGTGGTGGGTTGTTAGTAGTATGATTCCTTTTGACTTTCCCATGCATCCTTACTGTTATTCTAATTTCCCTTGTGTATTTATCACCTTCCACTTTCCCTAAATAAGGTCCCCTCCATTTTTTCCAAGTTCCCCTGTCAAATCATTTGTACCCTGCTATTCACCTTTCTGTTGCTCAACCACCCTACTACTTTGGCAGTGGTCGGTATTTACTTTTCTGGTTCCTGCAGTTGCTCTAGTATGTGGGCTCACCTGTGAAGGTTTGGAGCTCAGAGTCTACAATGGGAGAGGACATGTGAAGTTTGTCTTTCTGGGTCTGAGTTATCTCACTCAATATGATATTTTTCTAGTTTACCATTTACCTGGAAGTTTTATGATTTCACTTTTATTTACAGCTAAATGGTATTATATGGTGTATATGTCAGGCGTTTTTATGATCCATTCATCAGTTGAAGGACATTTAGGTTGTTTCCATTCACTAACTATTGCAAAAAGAGTAGCAGTAAACATGGTTGAGCAAAAATATATGGGTTAGGATGTCAAGTGTTTTGGGCATATGCCAAGGCATTGTTTTGCTACATCCTGAAGTAGATTTATTTTTTTTTATTTTTTTATCATCGAGCTGGAACGGGGACTAAGTGGGAGAGCAATGAAAGAGATACCATGATAGAGGGAGACATCATAGGGATAGGGAGAAACTGGGTGCTAGGGAAGTTCCCAGGAATTCCCAAGGATGACCTCAGATTAGACTACTAGCAATAATGGAGAGGGTGACTGACCTGGACTAGGCCCTCTGCATAAGCAAGACAGTTGTGTATCTTGGTCTGTTTAATGGTCTCCTGTAAGTGGGATCAAGATCTATCCCTGGTGCATGAGCTGGCTTTTTGGAGCCTGTTACCTATGGTGGGATGCCTTGCTCACCCTTGATGCATGAGGAGGGACTTGGACCTGCCTCAAATGAATGTATCAGGCTTTGCTGGCTCCCCATAGGAGGCCTTACCTTTTTGGAGTAGTGTATGATGAGTGGGTTAAAGGGGGAAGGCTGTTGGTAGAGCAGGAGGAAGGATGAGAAGAGGATCTGTGATAGGTATGTAAAATGAATAAAAAAAATCTTAATAAAGAAAAAGAAGGCTAGAGTGTCATGCAAAAGACCACTTGCCTAGCACACATGAAGACCCCAGAACTTGAAAAAATGTACATAAAAAGTTTAGAGTAGCATTATTTATAGTTGTCACAAGACAGAAACAGCTCAATCTCCCATTTACATGAAATGCTGAGAACAAGCAAATCATAGAGATCAAAGGCAAATCAGTAGCTGTTCAAGGCCAGGTATGAGTGTAAGATTAACTGTTTTCAAGAACTATATATTACAGAAGCTTCTCAGTTTCAGGAGGTCACATTTATTAGTTGTTGCTCTTAGTGTCTCTGTTAGTGGTGTTATATTTCAGAAGTGGTCTCCTGTTCCAATGCAGTCAAGACTACTTCCTACTTTCTCTTCTATCAGGTTCAGTGTAGTTGGATTTATGTTGAGGTCTTTGATCCACTTGGACTTGAGTTTTGTGCATGGCAATAGATATGAATTTTTTTTGTAGTCTTCTACACGTTGATGTCCAGTTATGCCAGCACTGTTTGTTGAAGGTGTTTTCTTTTTTCTTTACAGTTTTTGCTCCTTTGTCAAAAATCAGATGTTCATAGGCATGTGGATTAATGTCAGGGTCTTCAATTTGATTCCAGTGGTCCACATGTCAGTTTTATGCCAATACCAAGCTGTTTTTATTACTATAGCTTTATAGTAGAACTTGAGGTCAGGGATGGTGATGCTTTATTAAAGAGCTTGCTTTATTGTACAGGATTGTTTTAGCTATCCTGTGTTTTTGTTTTTTCATGTGAAGTTGAGTATTGTTCGTTCCAGGTCTCTGAAAAATTATGTTGGCATTTTGATGAGGATACTATTGAATCTGTAGATTGCTTTTGGTAAGATTGCCATTTTACTATGTTAATGCTACCTGTTAATGATTGGAGATCTTTGTGTTTTCTGATATCTTCTTCCTTTCTTCAGAGACTTAAAGTTTTTATCATACTGCTCTTCCATTTGCTTAGTTACAGTTACCCCAAGGTATTTTATATTATTTATGGCTATTGTAAATGGTGATGTTTCTCTGATTTCTTTCTCAGTCTGTTTATCATTTATATATAGGAGCGCTACTGGGATTTTTTTTGTTTTTGTTTTTGTTTTTTTAGTTAATCTTGTATCCTGCCACATTACTGAAGGTGTTTATCAGCTGTAGGAGTTCCCTGGTAGAACTTTTGGGTTCACTTATGTATACTATCATATCATCTGCCAATAGTGAAAGTTTGACTTCTCTTCTGATTTGTATCCCCTTGATATCTTTTTGTTGTCTAATTGTTCTAGCTAGGACTTTGAATACTGTATTGAATAGATATGGGGAGAGTGGAAAGCCTTGTCTTGTTCCTGATTTTAGTGGAATCACTTTGAGTTTCTATTTACTTTGATGTTGACTGTTGGCTTGCTGTAAATTGCATTTATTATGTTACATATGTTCCTTGTATTCCTGATCTTTCCAATACCTTTGTCACGAAGGGGTGTTGGATATTGTCAAAGGCTTTTTTAGCATCTAATGAGATGACCATATGTTTTTTTTAATTTCAGTTTATTTATATGGTGTATTACATTGACAGATTTTTGTATGTTGAACCATCCTTGCATCTCTAGAATGAAGCCAACTTGGTCATGGTGGACAATTTTTTTTATGTGTTCTTGGATTATTTTTGACAGAATTTTATTGAGTATTTTTGAATCAAAGTTCATGAAGGATACTGGTCTGTAACTCTTCTTTGTTTCATGTGTGTGTGGTTTGAGTATGAGGATAACTGTAGCTTCATAGAAAGAGTTTGACAATGTTCCCTCTATTTCCATTGTGTGGAATAATTTGAAGAGTATTTGCATTAGCTCTTCTTTGAAATTCTGGTAGAATTCTGTGGGAAAACCATCTGGTCCTGGGCTTTTTTTTGTGGGGGGAGACTTTTAATGACTGCTTCTATTTCCTTAGGGTTTATAGACCTATTTAAATTGTCTACCTGGTCTTGATTTAATTTTGGTATGTGGTACCTATCCAAAAAATTGTCCCTTTCTTTTAGATTTTCCAATTTTGTGGAGTACAGGTTTATGAAGTATGACCTGATAATTCTCTGGATTTCCTCATTGTCTGTTTGGTCTCCCTTTTCATTACTGATTTTGTTAATTTGGATGTTATCTCTCTACCTTTTGGTTAGTTTCAATAAGATTTTTTTCTATCTTGTTGATTTTCTCAAAGAACCAACTCTTTGCTTCATTAATTCTTTGTATTGTTCTCTTTGTATCTATTTTACTGATTTCAGCCCTCAAATTGATTATTTCCTGGCATTTATCCCTTTTGGGTGAGAGTGCTTCTTCTTGTTCTAGAGCTTTCAGGTGTGCTGTTAAATCACTACTGTGAGATTTCTCCAACTTCTTTATGTGGACATTTAGTGCTATGAATTTTCATCTTAGCAGTGATTTCATTGTGTCCCATAAGTTTGAGTATGTTGTGTAGATGGATTTCTTAATGGTCTTATTAAATAAAAAACACAACGCCAAATATAGGGGTGAAAGTCTTAGAGAGATCAGGGAAATAGGAAAGGGACCATCCAACCTTACCTCACTAACTCTGCAGTTTCCTTCCTACCCATGTCTATGTACCTTGCTCTTCTGCCATCTCATTCGCTCTCTTTGTTCAGCAGCATCACTTCCTATTCCTACACAGCTCTGTCACTTCCTGTCTGATTGTCCATGGTTAACTAGTTTTGGAATTTAAGGCGTGTGCCACCACACCTGGCTCTGTTTCCAGTTTGGC